TTTCTCAGCGCAAGTAGGCACGGCAGAGTTATCCCATAATAGGTGTTAGTCTCACTTTGCATTATATCGAGTGCTTCTGCAACTGGGGAAGTACACATCAAATATTCTTGTATGTAATCAAATTCATTTTCTTTGATAGTATTTCTTATGTTTAATGATCTATGTAACAGTAAGCTTTTCTCTTTAATGTTTAAGATTTGCTGGAGGGCATCAAACAAGCTATTCCACCTGGTCTCGCCAGGTCGGCTTAACGTGTGCCCTAACACATCCTGTATTATTTCGGCACTTTTTGGTCGCCCTGCAGCTTTCCACAGAACATTACATTTTTTCATTACTGCAGCATGCATTTGCGACAGGGGCGTGTCTTGCTCGGTTAAAACTTTGTTCGCATCCGTAGTTGCGCAAAGGCTTAAAGTATGCGCACAGCATCGTAAATGAGCAGGAAGGAAAAAAATGTGCTCAGGATCATCTAAATTCCATGATTCACCTTCTTCAACATCGGAATCGGAAGAAGCTTCTGTTGGATGAGAGTCGAGAATAAATTCATTTTCAATGTTTATATTGGTGAATTTAACACCGAACATTTTGAAAGCTTTTACGAAATTGCTTCCATTATCCGTCACCGATGCAACAATTTTATTTGTATTGAGATCGAATTCACCGTTAATTTCTTGAATTATTTCGGATAGCCTATCATAGCTGTGGACGCCTCTGAATCTTCGACAAGCTAACGCCACTGACACTCTGCGTAGATCATTTTTGATCCAGTGCGCTGTAACTCCGATGAAACTTCTCTTTTTACAGGACCAGATATCTATGGTTGTGCATACATAGAGAACTTCTTCTAGTTCTGAGTTGATCTTAGCTACTTGCGTTTCGTAGTGTTTTTCTATGCGACGTCCTAGTGTGCGTCGACTCATTAAAATTAACCCCATTTCTGATATATTTAAATCCGTGAATATTTTGGAAAAATATGGATCTTCCACTGCACGCAATGGAATCATGGAATGTATAAAATATTTCAAAATATTTTCATCAAATTGTTCTTGTGTAATGTTCTTCTCAATCGACTTCTTTGTTTTAGTAGTTGTGATTTTGACAAAAGTATCACCTTTTTTCTGGACTTCACTTTTCTTTTTTTTTACATAGGTTTTGTATTCTTCGATGCAATCTTGCCCATGTTTTCGCTTTAGGTGACTCAAAAAGTTTGACGTACAATTATGAAATCCTTTAACTTTAGTTAATACACCTCGTGGACATTTCATACAAAGCGCTGTGATTTTATTACCCGCACACTCTTCAGGCAAGTATTTGAAAAATGCACCATCCAGTAAGTGAAGCCGCGCTTGCGACGATGATGAACTTTCAGCGGTGTCGGTTGGTGTCACAGGCGAAACCGTTTCTAATGAATCATTTATGTCCGAAACCGAAAGAGTCACTGAAACGTTACTGTCTTCGTCCAATTCGTTTATCGACGCCATTTTATGTTACATGTCTAGGAACAATATATTTTTTTAACTAAAACACGAACATTTATATATGAAAAAAACTTACATGACACCAGTAAAGTGATTAGTTTACGAACGACTCGTGCTAGCAATGAGCACTCAACTAGTGATGCTGAAAACATCGATGCATCGAACATCGAAAAACAATTTTTTTAGCGATGTTTTCCAAAGTTTTTCGATGTTTTTGTTGATACCGATGTTAACCTACATAAACACAAGTTTATGTTTTCCTAAATCTTTACTAATTTTATTTTGATACATAAAGTTAATTATTAGTTTTAATTGTTTTATAAAACAACTAAAAAATTTAATTGCAACTATTTTAATTGTAAGTTGCGATTGACAAACATTAATCAAATTATTTAATTGCAAGGTACAATTAAAAGTTAAATTGCGATTGATTTAATTGTAATTAATTTAATTGCAATTACTTTTTTAGTCAATTAACAAGAAAATTGACAAATTAATTGATTAATGCCCAACACTGCCTGAGGCCCTAAAAAAGCCAACGCACCCCAAAGGATAAACCGAAACGAATAAGGAATCAGCTGCAAGAGAAATAGGGAGCCTGGAGAGGAAGTCCTGCTGAAGGATATACCATCTCCACATACACAAAACAGATAAATGGTAGCAAGTTTCAACAAAAGCGGCGGAACGGGCAACGCAGAGGTTTTCTGTCCCATGCAGTCGCAAATAAAAAGCGCGATGAAGGGGGAAAAGAGTTTACTTAAATGAAGGATTCTTTACACCCTACTATACACAATTGCTCCATAAACAAAATGAGAAAACCTTTATGTCTATAAAAGCTAATAAGTTTTCCAGGCACATAATCTATTTAGGTTCCCATGCTATTTTCTTAAGATATAATTCCAAATTAAAGCTTAAATTTGGTTAATAAAACTCTATAGCTTCACCCTTAAGACAGGGTATCAAAACAAGGACATGCAAAATTATGCGCCAGTTGGAAGTTCGAAATGTTTACGGGGCAACCCCAGCCCCAGATGTAAAGAAGACGGGAAAGGGCAGCCCAAGTGCATTCATTGTCCCTCAAACTCGCCAGACTCTACACACCCCACAGGATGAGGGAAAGCGCCTAGGGACTCCAAGACGAGAGGCCAAAGAGACTGCGAGGAAGGGACGCAAATATGCCAAAGCTTGCAGAGACAACAAACAGGAAGTACGCATTTCCTGCACTCGACGAAAAACAGATATAAAATAAAAACATGCCGAGGAATGGCAGGGCGGGGTAAGGAAATCAGGAAGAATCAGGGCGGGAGGAGGAGACACCCAGACGGAGATACAGTAGAACTGTCGCGACGACAACTTTTTTGACACAAAAGTGCCTGGAAAACAGTTTTCTTTTAGTTTCCCAACAGCCATTCGCTGTTTGCCCTTCGCCGTGAAATTAATTGAAACCGACTAGACCGCTGGGGGGGTGCAGTGAAGGAACAGGGGAGCTGCAGACTTGATCTTGACACTCTCCCCTGGCAGTGTCCCTGAACTTGCCAAAAAGCGTGGACATCATCCTGCGTTCACTCCCCCTAGTCCTCTTGGAATACCTTTTTAAATTTGGCTCTACAGCCTGCACTGGAAAAATATAGTCAAGGTTACACTTAAATTTTACATTAAAGTTAATAATATTATTAAATAAAGTTCTTTACTACTAAGCAGTTTAATAATTTTTTAAAACTATTTTATAGGTATGGTTTACATATCCCTGTCATCCCTGTGTTATATTTGTCCACGCAGCATTCCTGGTCGCCTGTCCCACCAAAGAAGTTCTGTGTCACAAGTTGACTTGGCCAAGATTAAGTGGGCGTTTAATTTGCCAACTCGCACCCTGCCGCCCATATTCCACCCCAGTGCCTGCCTTTAATCCCCACCATCCCAGACCCTGCCCCAACTACTTGCACCCTCGTCTATGAAAATACTGCGTTAATGTAATCCACGCTGCCGGCATTTCCGTATGCTTCCGTTTGCTTTTTCTTTTCCCAATTTTTTGGCGAGTTTTTTGTGCAGGGCTTTGTCCTTGGCAGCTGCCTCGTAACTTTGCCACTTGGATGATCTCTCTTCCCCCGCCCAGCCGTGCGCCCTTTGCTATTTTAGCTTAATCAACAAAGTAAATAAAATGTCCAGCCTGCCGGTGACCCTTGGTCGGAGGTCATTTGCGGCCATTTTTATGAAGTCGAGGGCTTATTAAGTTGTTTATATAAATATGTATTTTCGAATAAATTTGGGATTACTTTTTGCCATAAATACGGTAAGCCAATCTGCCAATCGAGGTGCCATAATGGGAAATATATTACTAGATTTGTTTCTCCGAAAACAAGGGGAAATTGGAAAAGAAAATACTTTCTTCAATCCACAATTAATGAGCTCCATCAAAGGACTATTTAATTATTTCTATTTATGTCGCCATAACTCATTAGTTCTTTTGAATTTTCCATACCCGTGACACATGAAAAATCGCTGCTAAATCAAGCAACTCACTTTGATGTTCAAAACAATGAGTCCCTTGCGCCGGTAAGTAAGCAAGGAAGAAAGCAGCTGAAACAAGTCCTTTGGAGAGTTGAAAGCAGAGCTTCCTGCATGCCAGCCCCCTAGTTTTTCGAACCCAAAGAGTTAGTTGTCAACACACTCCCACGTAATTATAGAGTTGCTGGTCTTAACAACGCCACATAAATGGAAACAGCCGAGGTAGAGAATATAAAAGCCATTCGATGGTTTATGTTTTGTAATTAAAATTTGTCAAGAAACTTTGCTCGATCTATTCTAGGAATGATTTCAATTTTAAACAACCACTTATAGATTTCTTCATAATCCCATACCTATTTTCCCAACCTCTATTGTAGCCCCAACATATCCCGTCGCATTTCATTTACTTTCTAATAATTTCTGTGGAAAATACCGATTGCACATGTGGGACTTTATATTGGCAGCACTGTGGAAACCAATTAAAATGCTGCACTGGCTCTGATTATAGGGCTTGGGTGTGTTTCTGTGTGTGTGGTTGTGTATCCTGTTTGGGAGGGTGTGTGAGTGAGCCCGTCGGTGTGAATAGATTGGTATGTGTCAACTAAGTGCAGTTAATTAGTGCGAAAATCACTTCAGTTGGCCTGGGATATTTTTTGCCGGATATGCTCTCTCCGATTTCTTTTAAGGATTTTTTGTTGTTTGTGAGTTTCTCCCACCTTCCTCTCAAGGTTTTCCTTGGCGAATTTTCACGTTAATTGCTCTGCGCTCTGCCCGGACTGCTGCAATCAGCCGGAAAACAGAAACAGAAGCTGGAGCTCTGGCACAGGACAGGAAAGGCAGTAGATTGCCAGCGAGCTAAGCCACTCAGGGATTAACTTAATTTGTTGTCTCCTTACCCCCGACGGTTTATTTTGGCTTCTATTGCAAACACGCCTTTTTTTATGATTACTACTGGGCCGTTTTCTGCATGGTTTGCAGAAAACCCTCCTTGCAATGAATTTCTTTTGATTCTATGACTTAGATGGTTTTTATTGCTCGAACAAATTTATTAAATCTGACTTAATAACTTCACAAAATGCTTATATTTTGGGGCTTAGCGCCGAGTAAAAATCCTAAGCTGGCCTAATTTTGAGATCGGCTATAAGAGCCACGTGATCTGATGGAAAGACCGAAGACGGTATGGCAGTGTTTTCTCTCAACTCGGCCTCGGATGGCAGGGGAACAGTCTGCATCACCTCGAATCGGTCCTTCTGGTAGTAGATGTAGTCCAGGCATCCGGAGAACAGAGTCGTAAAGTTGGTGAAAGGTGGCGTGCCGCAGGCCGAACTCATTTCAAAGGGCTGTGAGACCTCCACCCCTGAAACAGCCTCCTCGGAGTTGCTGCGCCAGTCGTCCAGGCTCGAGTCCACGACCTTCTCGGTCATCAGCTTGTAGATCCCGCAGTCGGGAGTGCTGTTGAAGTCCCCGCAGAACACGAGTCCTACGTTGTTGGGGTTGGCAATGTTCAAGTCCCTGAGAACCTCACTTCGGATGTGTTCCACGTAGATGATGGAGAAGCACATCTGCAACAGCCTGATGTGATCCGCGTCGGGATGGAAGTATAAATGCGTGTTGGCCACCAGCACGAAGTGGTCAGAGTCCTTCACTTTCAGCAAACATATTTGCACGGTTGTGGTTCTATCGCAGATTCTCTTCGCCAACTGGCCATTGCTCTTGATTTTACTCCACAGGCTCTGGAAGATATCCAGGGTGGGAATATTTTTCCCCAAGTTCAATGTGTGGGACTGTATCAGCTCGAATCGTGAGGTTCTGTAGAAAATGGCCACACCCTCTGGACAATCGCCCTTTTGGGACAAGAAGCCCTGGAAATTATTTGGCGGTTGGGTGAGGACTTCCTGCAGATCCACGTCGAAGATCCTTTGGTCGACTTCCTGAAGGCAAATCAGATCCGCATGGTAGCCAGTTATCTCCTTCACGAAGAGTTGTTTCCTGTAGTCTATTTGGAGATACTCGGGAGGGCAGTAGGGGAACAAGTGCGTGCGGCTGTAGTCACTGTCTGTGTACAAGTCCGCCAGGAGGTTATAGGTCATTACCCGCAATTCATCGGAGCCTTTCAGGAATGTCGGTGTGTACTTTTGTCGCGCTTCGAAGGGACATGTCCCTGGTCCCGCCAGCACTGCAGACTTGGAAACACTTTCCATCAGCGGGCCCACCATTCCCTTGTCGTTTTTCGGGGCGACTACGAACTTCATGAAGTACCCGATGTCCTCAGACTTGGGCTCGTAGCGAAAGCCCTGGCCGCAAAGCTCCCACTGACTACTTCCGGGAACCTTGGACCTGTACCACGTGCCTTCACTGCTCTCCCGGTTTCCGAACTGCATCTCGAACTTTGTGGGATATACCAGACATCCGGCCAAGATGCACTTTGGTAGCTGTAGGATTTTTACCCAGGGCGGGTTGACCACCATATTGAAGGAATGCTCCAGGACCTTTAGTTTAACTCCGTTCACATTACTGCTAAGCAGTTCTGCGAACGTGATTTCATTGAAAGAAGCATCTGAGCCCTCTTGGTAGAGATTCACATTCACTTCGGCAGGCAGCTGATCGAGTTTCTTTTTCAGTTTTTTGGACAGCTCCTTGTGGACATTGGTCTGGATCCTGGCCAGGACAGTCTGCGTCAGCTCTTCCGGCTTCCTGCAAAAGTTGAACTCCCGGTCCACGTTGAACTTTTCATTGACATATCGGAAGGCAATGTTTAATTCATTGCTGTCGCTCTCGTTTCGAATATAAACATTCTCCGTGTCCATCCTGGCGCGTCGAGCCAGAAACCGGAATGGTGTGAGATTCAAATTGTTACCAAGCCGACCCTTTGCTAGTTGTACAAACATGAACGCCGCACTAAGAAACTTAGCTATTTATTGAGTTCAGTGGCAGAAGCTGTGATGAAATTCGAGGCTCCTGGGGACAGAAGAGAAAACACCGCACGTTTATGATTTTCGTTTTTGTGTGCAACGATTCGGCTTGCTTACACTTCAGGGCAGTCACCTTTAACCCAAACATAAAAGTTCTCCGCGAAACTTGAGTACAAGCTGCTAAAATTGCACAACCTTTCGCAATTTATTTTATAAACCGGCAGCAACGAGGCGAACAGCTGACTTTGTTTTGACATTCACAATAGGCAGCATATGGCAGTGAACAAAAACAGCCGACAGAGGGCGCCTCAAAAACATCGATCGTCGATAACGAAACAGCTATCGGCGCTAATATTTAAATAAATAAAAAGAACCAGATAGCTCTTATAATTTTTGCAAGTGGACGTTCTGTAAGATATTCTTTACGCTATATATAATTTTAATAAAAATATAAACTTAACTAACGTAAATATAGTTAAATACTAAGACTATAGGGCGCCTGTTTTGTGAAAAAAAACCGCATTCCACGAAATTTAATTTTGAAAAGTTCTCAAAGACTTTCGCGAAAGCACCAGCATCAACTATAAAACCTTCTATTTCACTTAAGAACTCTTTTTCGGGGCGAATAACATAAACATTAAGCCAAATGTTACGATCCATATGAGACAAGCCGGGAAGACTGGCAAAGGTAAGAAGGACCACTCTGACGACGGCCATAAAAATGCGAAACAGGAGCCAGATCATGTGAGTATTTGCGGGGAGAGAGGCGGAGTGGTTGGTTAAGGTCCGTGCATGAAGCTCGAGTGCATAAAAAGCAGAAACAAGCCAAGAGGCGACTCGGCCGGGTCAAAAGGAATTGGCTTGGCCCCGAAACAGAGTCAACAACTGCTTGGCGCTCTAGAGTTTGCCAAAAAGATTGCAATACGAAGAAAAATCGACTAACAAGGATAGCAAGAGCAGGACCATGCCGGGCAAACGAAACCAATTGAAGAAATGTTGCTGACACCAAAAACGAAACTGCAGGAGGAGGACGATGATGATGACTAACAGGATGAGCCTGGGAGTGAGGCTAAGCCAGAGGACGCTGAGGATGTGCTGGACGGGCAGTCGAAGGGAGGGGAGGACAACAACAAAATTAGTTAGCACTTCAGAGAGAAAGCAGCTTTGGCTCGGGTCCAGGACTCGTTGCTGGATTACAACACCTGCGGGTAAAGAAGCAGTTCTTGCCCAGTTGTTGTTTTTTTTTCCTACATTGAGCCGAACTAGAGATGTCCTGGAGCTCGAATATATCACAAAGAATTAGCCAGGGACTAGAACGGAAAAATGGACACGTTATTGAAATTGTCTTATTAGTACCATGGCAGGCTTTGTCTTTAACAACAAATCCTAAAATGGAATATCCCCTAACCCAACGTGTCTATGTGAGGCCCACAACCAATCGTGCTTTCTGTGTGGCATCTCCGGCCAAAGCAGCAGGACAAGGCTTAAAGAACGGCAATTAAGTGGCCTCGAGCTCAGTCCCTGCAATTTCAATAACTATTGAGACCACTCAAGCAGGACGACCGGGTCAAGTCCTTGCGATAATCCATCCCCCAGTCGTAGCCCCAAAAAGCCTGCAGGAAGCAGCACACTCACATACACCCACACGAACAGATCGCAGTCCTCCATTCATTCCCCCACCATGTATAATATCCGTTTTGGACGCCACAGGACGAGCACTTACCTGATTCGGTTGCTGCAAGATTTCGTTCTTTTTGTTTTTTCCTTTTCTTAACACTTGTGAATTTTGTAGCCGAAAGCGGATGCACTGGGCTATTGGTTCTTGTTAATAATGGGAAAGGAACTAACGGTCTTGTGATTATATAATTATTTATAAAAGCATTGAACGTGACGCAGTACGGCCGAAAAGTAAACACATTGAGAATTTTGCCACCAAAAAGCCGAAAAATTGATGAACTTTTATAAAATTATTTGTACGTTACACAATCTGATTTAGAAACAATACGACTAAAATAAACTGAGACTCTTACGACTTTTACGATTTGACAAGCTCTGAGATCTGGCGCAGGGCCAACGTGATCGGGAGTTTTCCTTTTTGGGTTTTTAAAAAATTGGAGTTACCAATCGGTGTTGCCAAGAACTAAAGGTAATCCTTCAATAAGGCCTATAGAGGCGCCTCCCGCCACATTGACATTAAAGATAAAAGAATCAACAAACTCAAAAGTTTCGCCAAGAAAGTCATTTGCTAAAATTGGCAAGACCAACATACAGAAGCAATTTAATGAGGCTGAAAATTTTCTGGCCCAAAGCCAATCAAGACACACAAAGAAACAAAACAAAACTCACGTTTCTAATCAATTAAAAAATACCAAAGCAACAGCGCCGGCAGGTGGGGGAAAATCAAGACCAGTAACGATTTTCAGCAATAAATAAATTACAGACGGAGCGCAGTCAAAGCGATTAAATCGAGGTGGAAGGACGAACCGGTGGCGGGAGTCGGAGGAGCAGCAGAACTTCACAACGTCTGCTGCAATTTTAATTACGCCTGCGATAGGAGCAAGACAGGAGTAATGGAAAGCGACACAAGGATATCAATTTCGGTAGCAGGATACCCTGTTTGTTCAAGATGATACTAATTTTATGGCGTTTACACATACTTGATAAGCTGTTTAACAATAAGCTATATAAATGAGAAGCATTTGGCTATAATCTTGTTTCTTTATTGGCAATAATTTCTTCAAAAGTTCCTATTGCAGTATTTATTAAATTTTTCTGGTGTTTTACAGAATTTAATGACAATTTCATCATAAAAATTCCTAAAATAAACTTTATAGAAAACCTAACAGACTCGAACTTCTGACAAGTCCAGGATGCGCCAGGACTAATCCTTTGCCAAAGTCTTTGACAGTTGTCTTAGCTGCACAACAAAAAGAACAAGAACAACATCTTCATCATGATGCCAGCATTTCGGAGTGAAGGAGCACAATAAACAAAAGCAAACGAAACAACAACAAACATTATCGCACATCATTATCGTTGTCATTCAGGGAGCGTTCCAGCTTAAAAACACTCCACCCCTCCCCGCCAACCTACACCATTTGCCGTCTATGTATTTGCTTTATTTTTGTGTTTAGTTAGTTTTTATGAGCGTCATTATTTTCGCTTGCTATGGCGCTAAGCATCTTAAGTGGCTCCCTTCCCGGCTCGCCCGCCTCTGGTATTTTTTCTGCAAAAAATTCTCCTCGAGCGTGTTTGCGGGTGTGGGGCTGTGTTTGCATAGGCGCAGAATGTCTTTGTCGGCTTTTGACGATTTTATAATTTAACTTTTGCTGGGAGCTGACGACTGAGGAGGACCGCCCTCCACCTTCCGCCACTAGTTTTGAAAACAACTTAATAATAAGTGAGTGCCGAGTGCTGGTCGGAGAAAAGTTGGCTTGGCGCGGGGAGGTAGCGGCAAATTAAGGCAGTTAGAGCACATCGCTGGGTTTTCCTTGGGGCTCCACCTGCTAGGCAATTATCATAAAATGGATCCTTGTTGCGCTGCTTTTACCAAGTTTCCTGTGGGTGAAATAATTGTCGAGGACAACCAGGCCAAATAAAAACCACAACTGGTTTGCCAAGAAGGGCAATCAAAGTACTATATATATGAAAGGAATACCTTATTCTTAAAATATACATTTTTAAGCTTATTTCCTCTAAAATTAGGCCCTCTATTAAGGGAAGCAACCCAATAACCTTTCAACTACTTTGTAGGATATTCTTTTTTTAGCCAATCTAATTAAATTTAGAATCGCTTCTAGGACACGGTATACTTACGGGTGCTCTTAACATCGAGTCTTTAAAATATCCTAAGAATGCACTCTGAAACCTCACTTATGTTCGTGTCTCAGTGAGGGGCATCATCATCAATACAGATTTTCTTTGTCAGAGCTGGTGCATTCGGTAAATAGCCAGCAAATCGCTTGGAAGACATGGGAAAACATATGTTAAAAGTTGAGGGAAAACAATGCGAAAAGCGTAAACAAGAAGCTTTACATGCCCGACATGCGTTCGGTGAGGAGGAACTCAAAATCCACACAAACAGTCGCAAAATAAAGTTAAGAACGGTATATATATATGCATAAAAAATGTTAAAAACAATGAGCAAAACACAACACGGAAGGGAAGATCTGAAGGGACTCTAACAAGCACAGGGGAAACAAATCTTTGAGCTTATTTTTCTGCCTCCCCCAATCAATGCAATTTATGTGCGTCTTCGGAGACCACGCCCCTTTCCGTTTCCATAATAACAAAATATCTATAAATTGTCAGCCAGTTGTATCGCTTCCCGTTCCGCTCGGCGACGCTCCCCCGAGGACCATAAATAATATGATTATGGTCCTGGAGCCAGGAGGCAACTTGTATTTGTCAAAGCAAACCAAACTGCTGTTTGGCTGCAGGAGCAGAGTCCTTCCCGTCCGGCGATACTATTAAGGACCACCATTATTCATGCAACAAGTGATGCTCGCTGGCTGGACGGCCACTTCCGTCTAATTATGGCTAATTGAATGGCAGCGAGATCCGGGATTTGTCGTTTGATTTGTAGAGGGACTTCGGAATACCTCGACAGATATTATAAACAGATGGTGAATAAATGAATGGCCCAAAATCAGGTAGATTTGGACTAGGTTATGTCGTCTTTACTCTAGTATGAATCATCAATGTTCACACTTCAAAACTAATATGGCTTGATAGCTATATGAATTTATGGGTTAAAGGCACAAAAAAACAATAAATATTTAAAACAAGCAGAGCCATTATTAAAATCATTTAAACACTCCGCGGGTTTAATAAAAACTTGTTAAATTAATCTGTCAGTCGGGCAGAGGCGATATGCATATAATAACATTTTAATCAATTATAATGCCGTAAAATAAAGCAAACACAATGTTGAGGACAAGGAGCCTTTATTGACATATCGACAGCAAATAAAACCACAGCACCGACAACAACAATAACAACAACAACAAAAAACAGATAATCCAAGCAACAAAGATTTATTGCAAATAGTATAAGCACACAAACTTTTATTTTTTTCGCTTATTTAAACGGAAAATAAAACCCATGTGGTTCGCAATGGGACAGCACAGTTTAATGAGGTTAGAGTTGAGCGGAATTTGCAATAAATCCGCAATAAGCTAACAGAGCACAAACTAAAACTTAAGACTAAAGATACTCCGCTCGAGGTGTACTCACATAAGACTCATATGTATGTATAGATAGAACACAGGACAGATACAGTTAATGATGGTTCGAGAGTCAGTATAGATTCAAAAATACACCACAAACCCACAGAGAAAGCAAACAGGCACTTTGAATTTAGTTTCTGGTGACTTTTCTTATAGACGGCACGTTACGCTACGAGACGTAATGACATAAGCGTACAAACGTTTTATCTAGATTTTGAAACTGCGTTAACGACCACGACAATTACGGAACGCTCTCCAAAACTTCTTTTCACAATTGACTAAAACTTTATTTATTATATGGCCAGATCTATAGACGCACAAAACGAAAAGCTGACGAACACACAGAAAGTCGAACTAAATAGGTATTGCAATTAGAGACGATCAGCAACGTTATCAAGACAACAGACTCTGACAAACTAAAAAGGCACAAGGCGAAAAAAACACAAAAATTTAAATCAAATAAGTGGAAATTACTTTCGAGCAAGGACAACAACAAGAAACACACTGATAATGCTCATGATCTGCGATCGAATTAAGAGGAGGCGATCCGAGAGCTGTCGCGTTGAAAGAGAATGTTCTCCCTCGCCTGAGCTATTTTCGAAAATTGATAAGACAGTTCGAATCGATTAGTGGCTGGCTGGCATTTAGATTCGAAAAAAACAGCCACCAAAAATAAAATCCACAATGCAAGTGGAGGCAGGGACCGGTTATCGGAAGGAATGCACCTCGTGGGTTTCTTATCTCAGCGGGAAACTTGCGGATAGGTCGGGGTCTGTGAGAAATATTTATCAGACTTATGGAGGTGACGATTTAAATAATTATATTATATTTATTTTAAAATGTTAACACACCATCAAGTAATTCCATTAGCTTTATTAAGAAACGCCAATCGGAAGATGCCCTCCCTTGCAGTATATTTTTTCCATCCCATTGGGCTAAACATCTTTTAGGACCTTTTAATGGAGTCCGTTTACTGATACCCGAGCTGAAAACAAGACTGAAATCGATTTACAGGACACGGGGCACGTGACTATCAGGTATAGCCCGCTGACCCCAGACCAGCCCCCGGGTCATGTGTGCGTTTTCCGCCGAACCACCAGACACCACACTCTACCCACATAGCCCCTGTTTCCAGTTCAATTGGCTACTTAAAACTTTAACAGCCGTAAATTCGCAACAAGCAAGGGCTATGAAATTTAATAGCAGACGCGGAAGTACTTCCCTTTCCGCATGACTCGTCCTGGAAATGACTGACCAATACAATACGCAACTGTATTAGCTCACGTCTGGTCCTTATTTCGATGTTCCTGCTAGAGCCAAACACATATTATTGACTTTTATTGCTGTTTCTACGCTCCCGGCTTTGTCTGGGGATATGGCTAGAAATTACAGGCAAAATTGCATACAAACCTTATTTTCAAATATGGTTATATACCTATTCTATGCCTTTTGATAAATACTATTATACAAATAAATACCCGATCCAAAAAAGTAGGACTATTAATTATAAAAGTTACAAGATTAAAGATTTCCTAATGTTTATTCTATATTTTAGTTCTATATTTTAATATTTATTTTTCAATTTTATATAATTTTATAAAAATTATTTAAAATATAATTTTATATTTATATAATTTTATAAAAATTATTTAAAATTTTCAAACATTCTCCACTGTACTCCGTTTGCTACCACATTTTCTGGAGCTACTGCTTGGGCTTCCACTGCTTCTATTGCAGCGCCTGGTACTTGTTCCCCTGTTTTAGCCTTAACCCTTCTCGTCCTGTGTGTGTTTACATTTTCAACTATGTAATTCGTTGCATTT